TGGCGTGAGGTGGTATCTCAGTGTGTTTTTGATTTGTATTTCCCTGATGATGAGGGACACTGAGCATCGTTTCATGTGTCTGTTGGCCATCTGGATGTCCTCTTTGAATAAGTATCTGTTCATGTCTTCTGCCCATTTCTTCACTGGATTATTTGTTTTTTGGGTGTGGAGTTTGATGAGTTCCTTATAGATATTGGATACTAGTCCTTTATCTGATATGTCATTTGCAACTCTTTTCCCATTCCATCGGTTGCCTATTAGTTTTATTGATTGTTTCCTTTGCTGTGCAGAAGCTTTTTTCTTGATGAAGTCCCAGTAGTTTAGTTTTGCTCTTGATTCCCTTGCCTTTGGGGATGTGTCAAGTAAGAAATTGCTGCGGTTGAGGTCAAGGTTGAGGTTTTTTCCTGCTTTCTCTTCTAGGGTTTTGATGGTTTTCTCTCTCACATTCAGGTCCTTTATCCATTTTGAGTTTATTTTTGTGTATGGTGTGAGAAAATGATCTAGTTTCATTCTTCTGCATGTTGCTGTCCAGTTTTCCCAGCACCATCTGTTAAAGAGGCTGTCTTTTTTCCATTGGATGCTCTTCCCCGCTTTGTCAAAGATTAGTTGGCCATACATTTTTGGGTCCAATTCCGAGTTCTCTATTCTATTCCATTGGTCTGTGTGTCTGTTTTTGGGCCAATACCATACTGTCTTGATGATTATAGCTTTTATATACTTAATTTTTCAATTACATTTTATTCTTGATTCTTTCTGTGTAGTCATTGCTCATACTTGCCTTTACATAATACAAATTTTTTGAGGAAATAAAGGAATTTTATAAAATTTTCTCATATAATCAACAACTTTTACTTAAAAATTTTTTTTAAATGTTTATTTTTTTTTGAGAGAGAGAGAGACAGAGCATGAACAGGAGAGGAGCAGAGAGAGAGGGAAACAGAGAATCTGAAGCAGGCTCTAGGCTCTGAGCTGTCAGCACAGAGCCTGATGTAGGTCTCGAACTCAGAAACTGTGAGATCATGACCTGAGCCGAAGTCAGCCCAATTTTTACTTTTTGAAAGAAAATATCACTCTAAGATTCAAACACATATAATGTGCACACCAGAGCCTCATTCTTATATTTAGACATACTAAAACTAAATATGATTCAATGTTTTAAAATATAATTCAATTTTTACCTCTAATTTCTATCTTTTTAGTATCTTCCTATTATAATTTTTGTGGTTTCTATCACATGAAGAACTAAGTATCAGAATTATAAATCTGATACATTATTTCCTTTGAATTTTGCTTACTTTCTATTTCATGATACACACACACACACACACACACACACACTAAAAAAACTTACATTTCAGGGGCGCCCGGGTGGCTCAGTTGGTTGAATGTCTGACTTTGGCTCGGGTCATGATCTCATGGTTTGTGGGCTTGAGCGCCACATCGGGCTCTGTGCTGACAGCTCAGAGCCTGGAGCCTGCTTCATATTCTGTGTCTCCTCTCTCTGACCCTCCCCCCACTCATGCTCTGTCTTTCTCTCTCTCAAAAAATTTATAAACACTAAAAAAAATTACATTCTGGTATTATTTATATTAGCAGACAACATTATCTTATCCTTTTCATAATGCTCTTAGAGGTAGTAAGTATAGAGTTTATTTCTTTTTGTTTATATAATATATATATCTCCCTTTTCTACTAGAGATTTAGGGCAGCTACTTTATAATATGCATTTACTACACTTTATGACTATAAGCTTGCATAACACTAGGATAAGAGACAGACCTGAAACAGACTTGTATATTTACATATTGGCAAATTAAATTTATATAGAAAATCTATCAGGAAAGCTCTCTGGCTAATTTTATAGAGGATGGACTTTTCAGTGTGGCACAAGATTTCTTTGATATATGTACTTACATACAACTGTAGTGTTTGTCAGTTTTATTAAGAATTAAATTTAATGTTTCATTGCATGAATAAGAATTATCAAGTGGTATAAGGCACTTTTGGGTTAATTGAGAAAAGTTGGACTGATATTAGATGCTATTAGGGAATTAATATTAATTATATAATGTGTAATAATAGTAATGTGGCCACTTAAAGAATATCCTTATCTTTTAGAGATACATACTGAAATCTTTAGGGGTGAAATGTCATGATGTTTATAAATTTACTTGATTTACTTTAAAATACTTCATCCAAAAAATCAAATGAAGCATATTTAGCAAAATGTTAATAATATTTAGGTGACAGACATATGGGTGTTAATGACATTCTTTCTAATTTTCTGTTGGTTTGAAAATGTTAATAATAAATATAAAGTCATATGTTAAAGGAAGGAAAATTTTGTACAACTAAGCATAACATTTGTCTTTATCTTTAAAGGAGCCCATTCAGACCTCTGGATATATTTGTAACTTTGAGGATTTAGAAATTAAATCTGTTCTTTTGGATGAGATATTGAAGGTAATTCTTACAAAAGAATTCTATTTTTGTTGCTGGCTTGACTGGGATTTATCTTAACTCCAGGCAGTGTGGTGTCCCTGTTAGGAATCTGGATGGACTCTGCTCTGTCACTTGGACCATTTTTAGATAGTTTCTTCATCTTTTTGGACTTCATTTTCCTTTCTTGTTTATGAGTCTCCATTTTTTACCTTAATAAAATGTGGATAATAATGACTCCTATCCAATAGGATTGTTACTGTATAAGGTAATTTGTGAAAAGCACTTACCACAGTGCTGGGATCAAGAGCTCAAAAAAATGGTACCTAGTCGTTGTCACTGTTTTTATGTTAATAACAAAGAGGAGAAATATTTGACAATTCACTTTGTTCTTTTGATTTCTAAGACACTTGAGTAACTTTTTGTTTGCAGGGCCACTATCTTTTTTTTTTTCAGGTTTTATAAAATAATCCATTGCTGATTCCAGGTATCTTTTTGAACCCCTACTTTGGCCTTCATTGACCATCTTTTGAGAGTTTCTTTCTCTAAGAATATGTTGAAAACAGTTTTACTTTCATTTTATACAAAGCATTTACTTTTTTCTGTGTACTTCATATATTTTTTTTGGAATCGAGATAGTAGAGTTTCTGAAGTTAGTTGCAACTTGTAGTATGTTTTCATGTTTTGGTTTTATAGGTAAATTGTAGCTCTTTAAAGCCCTTTATTTATGAACCTGTGTGTGTGTGTGTGTTTTTTTTTAATGAGAAATTTATTGGAGGACTAGAGCAGAGGAATGCGAAAGGAAAGGGAAGGGAATTTACTAAATTTACATTCACTAAAGTGCTTCATAGGAAGTGTTCGATTGTCATTTGTCATTGCATGTCATCGTTCCTTTGTTGTTACAACCGTGCCTAGTTGATAATACACAGACGTCATTTTTAGTGAAGGCTCTTCGTGAGTAAAATGATTTACCAAAAGTCCATCTGTTCATTGACTCAGGAGATGTTTATTGGCAGTCGGTAAGACACAGTTCCTTGCTTTAAGTAGAGGGGTTGGGGAGATAGTCGAGCAATTCAGCCACCAGCAAAGGGGTGGGGCTGTGGCGGTTTGGTGGGCAGGTGCGTCCCGCCAGAGGTCTGCGGCCCGAGGAGCACTGGCGCAGTTCTGAGACGGAATCACGTGAGTAGCAAAAGGCTGGTATTGTGCTAAATGTTTGATATGTGTTATCTCATTTAATCCTCACAGTTCTAGGAAGTCAGTTTGATTATTCTCTTCTTTTGTTCAGATGAAGAATCTGAAGCTTGGAGAGTTAAATTCATTTGCCAGTGACGCCCAGTTAGCAGTAGGCAGAGACATGAATGATTTCACTCCAAGCCGTCTGGCTTCAAAGCTGGTGTATGTAATTGGTAGCACTGGCAGAAATGAAGAATGGGAGCCGTCATGGGGGAGGTTGGCCTCAGTCATAAGAGGCCTTGTGTGCCTTCTGTGGAGTCTGGACTGCCTCCCGGAGTCACTGGGGGAGTGATGTGATTGGGCTTATATTTGGGGAAGACGGCCTTGGCTTCCTTGGTGGGCACAGGAGGGGGTACAGCAGGTCTTAGAAAGAGCTGTCACATAGCCAGTAGGCTGTGGAGTTAGGATCCAAGCTTAGGTCTGTTTGAATCCAAACCTCATGCAGTTTCCACACTACTTTCTACTTTGTGCCAGGGATTTCTCAGAGGACTTTTCAGTTTCTAAGTACTGCGGTTTTGTTGCAGGTGGGAAAGACCAGATGCAGCTCAGTTCTGGGAGCCATTGTTTCTTTCTTTGGCCATTAGGTAGCTCTTTCCTGCAAGACTGCCTTTAGAAAAAAAAATGGTCACTTGTTGAATTAACAAAAGGAAAGAGATAATGAAAACTAGCTCTTTTTCTTTTATTTGCTTGTCTGCTGCCCAACAGCACAGGGGACAGCGGTCTCAGTGTCCCTGGCAAGGAGAGAGTAGATTAAAGAGTGGTGGGTAGAGACCCCCCACACATGTGTTTTCTGTAGCACTTTGGGTGAGAAGAGACTGGTAGCTCCTGGGAACATGACAGTTAAGCTGAAGGGAACAAGGCTGCATGATTGTTCTTGCACTTCTTCTTCCACTGGCCGCTTTTCCCCGTGGGCAGCCTAGTAACCTCAGGAGGGACTTCACCTGTGGATTGTGCCTGTTTTCCAGATAACTCTAAGACCCACACATTGGAATATCTTTTCTTCCCACTTTGGCTTACAATATGATACAGTTGTTTGTGTGCACGTGTCTTACTGTAAAAAAGAAACTCATACTCTAAAGGCAGCTATTTGAATTTCTTTCTTTTCATCCTACTTTTAGAATCCAGAACAGCCAAACAAGGATTTTATAATTAACTTTGAGATCCGGTCCTTGCGAGATAGTCGAGCATTGATTGAGAAGGTTGGAATTGAAGATGCATCTCAGTTCATCGAGGACAATCCACACCCCCGACTTTGGTATTTAAAAATAAAAAGTCCTCCCGAAACGTGTGGTGTATGCATTTAAAGTCTCAGCTCTACTGTCTCTCACTCTCATGGTAACCTTCATGGGGTTAGACTTGCATTCTTGCTCTTTTTATTAAAACATTTTTAAAATTGTTTTTTTATTTATTTTTTGAGAGAGAGAGACAGAGAGTGAGTGGGGAAGGGCAGACAGAGAGAGAGACACAGAATCCGAAACAGGCTCAAGACTCTGAGCTGTTAGCAGAGAGCCTGAAGCAGGGATTGAACCCATGAACCATGATATCATGACCTGAGCCGAAGTCGGATGCTTAACCAACTGAGCCACCCAGGCACCTCCTTGCTCTTCTTTTTAAAATACAGAAATTCATTTTAAATTTGGAAGCACTCAAAATAAGGATAATATTAAGTAAAACATACATAAATGTGTTAAAGTAATGACTTCCCACCATGTTTAGCTAGAAACAGCCATAATAATTGAACTCGGGTTCAAGACTTGTTTATCAGTAATGGCAATCAGCTTTTCTGTTTCTTTTTTTAATAAAGGCGCCTCCTGGCTGAAGCAGCTCTTCAGAAACTAGATCTGCACACGGCAGAGCAAGCATTTGTGCGCTGCAAGGATTATCAGGGCATCAGGTTCGTGAAGTGCCTGGGCAATCTGCAGAGTGAGTCCATGACGCAGGCCGAAGTTGCTGCCTACTTCAGCAGGTTCGAAGAGGCGGAGAGAATGTACCTTGATATGGACAGAAGGTAAGTAATGAAGGTGCGAGCATTCTGGAGTGCTTCTGGCATTCTTGATCTTCTGTACAAATGGGGAGTGTACAGTAGATGAAATGTGTCAAAGCACTCCTTTCAGAAAATCATCTCAGTTTAGATTACCACCTGGATATTCCACATGGCCCTTACATTAATTGATGTTTTGAAATTTGGGAGCAGTTTTCTTTTCTGGTTTTTGTTTGTTTTGTTTTACATATATTAATGGCTGGCCATGGGAGGTTTTCTCACTTGGTAGGAAAAACTCCTAAGACTACAGAGACTGGGGGCTTTTATTATTTTTTATGTAGCTCAACATTTGGGTTTTGTTTTTTGGTTTAGACCCTTATTTAATTTTTTTTTGTCAAAGAGCATGAAATAAAAATGAATGGTATATAGGGATTGAGTTTTATTCTTTATGCTTATTTTAGATTTGTATAAAATAATGTATGTATTTCAGCTGTAAACATTATATCTAATTTTCATTACTATTATTGGTACTTCAAGGAGATCCCTAATACTGCTTAAGCCCTGAAAAGAAAGATAAAACCATATATGTATGGTTTTTGAAATAAGCCTGATCATGTCTCAGTAATTGATGAAAAGAATTGGTTATTATTTAAATCATTATTTTGCTAAGAAGATTTAAATTCTAGGAGAATAAAAAGCAGAAAATTATTTCCTTTTCCTGATTTCAAGTTCTCCCCATTGCCTCTTTCCAGTTAAGTTTCTAAAATGTTTGGGGAGTAACTTGTCTGTCTGTTCACTGCTGGGTATTCTCAGTACCCTGGAATTGACCCTAGCACAGGGCAGGCACTTCATAAATATTGGTCAGGTGAGTGAATGTGTGCTGTTGTTTGTAGAGATCTTGCTATTGGCCTCCGGCTGAAACTGGGAGATTGGTTTAGGGTCCTCCAGCTCCTGAAAACTGGATCTGGTGATGCAGATGACAGTCTCCTTGAACAAGCCCACAATGCCATCGGAGACTACTTCGCTGATCGACAAAAGTGGTAGGTGACCTGTGTGGACATCTTCATCCATTCATGTGGCACTCAACATGTGGCTGCCTGGTACTTCCCTGTGGCATAATGCTGGTGACACTGGAGGCCGTCCCCCTGGATTCCTGAATTCAAGCAGCTTTCCATTCGCAATGGGGAGTGAGAGATCCTTAGCTAAGTGCTGTAGAACTTTGGAGTTTCCAAACTCACAAACGTGTGCTTACCTCCAGGCAGCTTTCCACTGTTTAAAACCACAGTGTGCATTTCAAAGACATTATATGATTTATTTCTGAAAAAAGTAAAAAAAAAGTATTTTATATTTGCTTGTTTTATTGTAGATTATTTTTAGAGATCATTGGCTTTTATTCTTAGGTTTTCATTTGGATCACTACGCTTTTTTATGTCCGTGTTTGGAGGCACAACTGTATATCCGATTACAACAATCTTTCTTAATAGCCAAAGAATGTTGCAACTAAAATGTGCTTCAGAGCCTTTAGATTTTATCCTCCCAGTCTGTGCATGTCAAAGACATACGGTAACTGCAGACGGTAACTAGGAATAGTATTTCTAATAAAGGAACATTTTTGATAAGAGTGTTTATTTATCAGGAGATTCACATTAGTTTTAGAAATTTTTCTTTTTTTTCCCCCCATAGGTTGAATGCTGTACAATATTACGTACAAGGCCGGAACCAGGAGCGCCTCGCCGAATGCTATTATATGTTGGAAGATTATGAGGGATTGGAGAATCTTGCCAATTCACTTCCAGAAAACCACAAGTTGCTTCCAGTGGGTATTACAAATTTTAGTTTTTAGATTTGTTAGGTTATTTTTGTTAGGTTTTTATGTCACCGTCAGGAAATATCCTCTGCCACAAAGAAAATTTAAAATTAATCTATAATCTTAGAGTTTCTTAGATGAGTAATGATACTTTTCATTGTTAAAACAATATGTCAGTATTACAGAATGCTTGAAAATAGAGGGGAAGTTAGTCATATTCCCATTACTTTAACACGTTCACAATCTCCTATAGTATTTTTAGTTTTATAAAATTGCTTTTCAAAGCTACAGTTAAAAATCTTTCGTCAGGTCTGGCTTCCTGAACTGATGAATGGCCAGCTTATCTGGGGCATTTCTTCAGAGAGGTATTTGAGAGCTCGGTGAATGTGAGATTTCCCTTAAGTCTCTAACATTACCAATGTTATACTATCAGTTGCCTTAAATGTTTTTTTCACACATGAGTATGGGGTTTGTTTCCCAGCCTGATACTTCTGTGCCCTAGCTATTGTATCGAGGGACGTGGAGTGCGGTGGGTTCAGGACCCGGCTAAACAGTAGATCTGCAGCCTGAGCCAGGGAAGCTCCGCTTTCATAGAAAGCGATGCCTTAGCATCCTTTCTGGTCTGTAGCCTCTGTCCCCATGTATGTTGCAATGAAAGATTACTGTAACCACCAGTAAATTTAATATTCATATGTCCCCATGGAATTTTGTAAATTAAGCTATAAATGATTTCCTTGGTCTGTAAAATCTTATAATATTGTTCTGTCCTTACAGGAAATAGCACAAATGTTTGTGAGGGTTGGAATGTGTGAACAAGCAGTGACTGCATTTTTGAAATGTAATCAACCAAAGGCAGCAGTAGATACTTGTGTACATCTCAACCAAGTAAGGAACTGAAAATTAAGGTCCCTAGACACCCTTTTAGATTGTTGCCAATATAGGGTTGAGGTAGATTTTGTGAAAGGAGCTAGATACTTTCTCACTTTGTTGAGGACCTAGAAAATATTGGAGTTTGCATTTACCTCTTGAAGTGCTACCATTAAGGGTGACCCACTCATAACTAAGTCAATATGGGGACAAACCCTGTGGTTTAGTTTTGCAACCTTTTGTCTGGAAGTAATTTCATAATTTTCTGCATTTTATTAGGATTTTGTTTCCAAAGAAGGACTAGTTAATGGTCATTGCAAGAGGAAGGAATTGAGTTACCTTATCAATATTTATTTTGGCAAATCTATTTTCCTGTCTCTTTATAGAAAACATATATTTGATATTTTTAGAAGTGGGAGTTTAAAATTAAAGTGCAGAATTGTGGAAATTGTTGACTATCAGTGTATTCCTTTAAGTATTTTCTTGAAGTATTTTATGAAGGTCCATTTGATTTTTAAAAATAACTTTTAAATGTTAAATCTGATAAGAAATTTTCTTAACTGAAATTGCATATTTTGTTCTACTACAAGCAAGTGTAGCTTTTTCTCACTTCTAACTGGTGCAAAATTGAATTATAATATTGTGATTATAAACTTTGAAGCTTTCCTTTTCTGATGTACTTCTTAAACAAATTACAGTCTTAGGTCATTTAATCATGTTGACACATGTTTGACTTTATAGAACTTACAATTGCTCTGATTTTAATTAAAGTTACTATATTTAAAAAAACATATACCTATACCTATTTTTTATTTTGATATAATAGTGTTATTTATTACTATAGACTTAAAGCTTTATTGTGTGAATTTTATGACATCTATGACTATAAATTCTCTAGTAACTAAATGGCATATTTTTCCCCTTTAGTGGAACAAAGCTGTTGAGTTGGCTAAAAATCACAGTATGAAAGAAATTGGATCCCTGTTAGCGAGGTATGCATCTCATTTATTGGAAAAGAATAAAACTCTTGATGCCATAGAACTCTATCGGAAAGCCAATTACTTTTATGATGCTGCTAAACTGATGTTTAAGGTAATATAATAATCTTGGTGAGTATTTGCCATGTTCTAGTTAACAAATGTTTGCTTATGTATTAAAGAACACATTTTCCATTTTCTTTGAAAACAAATACTTGCTATAGCAAAAGCCCTCTTGTTTTATTACTACTATAACTATACATTATCTTAGTATTATTACCTTTTACTAAAAAAGCTATTCATTAGTGTTAGCACCTTACTGATACCTAAACAATTGAATATTTACTTAATACTGAAATTAACAAAGAATTATAGAATTTTCAGGGACCATAAAGTACAAATTCCCTTAATAATGGGAATTAAATCCTGTTGACAATAGAATTTTGTCCTTTTAAATGTACACATTTTAGGAATATCTAGATGGCTTAGTCAGGTAAGTGTCTGATTCTTGGTTTTGGTTCAGGTCATGATCTTGTGGCTCGTGAGTTCAGGCCCGTGCCACCCACCCCATGGAGCTCTGTGCTGATAGCACAGAGCCTGCTTAGGATTCTCTCTCCCTTTCTCTCTCTCTGCCCTTCCCCCTCGTGTGCATGCGTGTGTACATGTGTATGTGTGTGTGCCTGCTCTCTCTCCCTTTCTCTCTCAAAATGAATAAATAAATGAATGTACATATTTTAAATACATTACTTTTTCATAATATGCATTTGGAAGGAAGAGGACTAGTACAGTATTAATGTATGTACATTTTACACTATATTCTATTTTTTTCCCATTTGATTTAATGAAAGACAGAAATTCCCCTCAGTAATTTAAATAAATCCTTATTTCTGAAGGCTGTATACCATGTTAAAGTCCTCTTGTCTTGGTATACTTGGAACATTATTTTTAAAATCTCCTTATAGAAAATGCTACCCCTTCCATGAAAACTTCCTTCATTTTGACTTAGTTATTTAAGAGCCTTTGCTGTTTTCTAAGATTGTTATGAAGTCTAAATCCGAAGGAAAGAACTGACTCCTTAGAAGCTAAGGAAAATATTCAACATAAATGGGTGGTATTCATGTTCCATCCTACTGATTTTTTATTTTTATTAAAGAATCAAATTTTAGAAATGATTGTATTTGTACAAATATAGATTAAGAAATATCTTCCCCAAATTCTTTAAATGTTTAAAGATTGCAGATGAAGAGGCAAAGAAAAGAACCAAACCTTTGCGTGTCAAGAAGCTGTATGTACTAGCAGCTTTACTTATTGAGCAGTACCATGAGCAAATGAGAAATGCGCAGAGAGGAAAAGTGAAAGGAAAGAGCTCAGAGGTAAGCTAGAGCATTACAGACCATGACGTCATCTGAGGTGTTTAAGGAAAAAAGACTATCAAACTTCTCTTTAGGGTCGGGCCATTTAATTTGCTTGTCTGCATTTATTGTTTTAAATGACATGAGGAAAAGGGGTGACCGACTTAGAATTAGTACTCAAATTTAGAAATTTCTATTTAGGAATATTGGAAATTTTTTCTGCAAGACTAATCTGTAGACTTTGCTTTAATTTTTTTTACTTGGTAAATCCTTTCTAACTGGTGAGTTTTAAAAACCTTACTAGAATGTGTATATTACTTTACGTGTAAAGAATCTCTTACTAACTTAAAGTTTATAATCAGTTCTGTTAGAAAAATTGACCACACCGTGGGGAGGATTGTTTCACAGCATGTATGTGTGTCAGATCACAACAAGGTGCACTTTAAATATCTTATAGTTTCATTTGTCAGTTATAGCTCAGTAAAGCTGAAAGAAATTTTTGATTACACAGTTTAACAAAATACGACTTCTAATGGAGAAATGAAGTCTGCAATGACAGCTTTGTAATGATAACATCTGCTTTACTTAGTTTAATGTATAAGCCAGCTCAGAAGTTCTCTTCATTGGGGTGATTCACGGTCGTGCTGACAAAAAATGTGGGTCTGCTTGACTCATAGGCCACTTCTGCTTTGGCTGGTTTGCTGGAGGAGGAAGTTCTGTCTACAACTAGTCGTTTCACAGATAATGCTTGGAGAGGGGCTGAGGCTTACCACTTCTTCCTGCTCGCCCAGAGGCAGCTCTATGAGGGATATGTCGACACTGCACTGAAGACAGGTGGGCCTGTGACCTCATGGATATAATGTGTGTGAATTGGATATGAAGAGCTGGCTCCTCAGTTTGCCCATGTATTAATTTCAGTAACACTTTTATCTGTGGGTTTATTTTCGTGTTTGAGATTTGCTGCCTATAGTCTGTTTTGCACATTCTCCTTTTTTTGAAGTTCTTTTGATTTTTTTTTAATACATATGGTTCACATTAAATCAGAAGTTTGAGATAAGCAAAAAGAGTGTCTCTACAGTCACTATTCTGTTCATTCAAAGTTAAACACTTAAGAGCCCAGGCCATATGTTTTTGAATATATATAAAAAGTTGTTTTTTAATAATATCAGGAGTATAACAGGCCATACGTTTATGTCCTTCTTAAGAAAACATAATATGTTGTAAAATATTTCCATATTAATAGATTTCTATAGTATTTAACTTGGTTTTTGTTAAAAAGACACTTATGTAAGAAATAAAATGACACATATAACAATTACAGTCAAAACAAAAAAAATACAAAGAAGAAGAAAAAATAATCTAATAACTTGTAAAATAATCTTATAACTCAGAAGTAGTAATAATTGGTAACATTTGAGCGAACTTCATTTTAGACATTTCTCCGTGCCTATAAAATTGTAGTTTTCCTTCAGCTGACGTCATCGGTGTCTGTTGTTCGGGAGCTGGCTTCGTGCTCTCCGTTGTGCACTGCAGTCAGGTTTCCATGTTGGTTAGATTAGATCCGTGTTAGCATTTGTATTAGCAAGGGGACTGTACAGCTTTTTTCCGATTGGTTATTAGTTATACATAAGAATCATTTTCCTTTTTATATGTTTACAACTGACCTTTATTTAATTTTAACTGATTAATATGTGGCATAATGCAATTATGTTTAAAATATTTGTATTTTATATAACTTACACACCGTTTCTAGACTTGAACGATAAATTAGAACTTGAGAGTTTTCACCTACTGGGTGAAGAAATCCAGTATACGATCTATTAATTCTACAGTACATTTTAAAGAAAGATTATATCTCTAGTATAGAAAAAGTAAAAATAAGATATGGTAGCTGTCAAAATAAATGTCTGAACTGACAGCTTAGAGGTACATTGTCACTTCTTTTTTTTTCAAAGTTCTGTCGTTTCAAAAAGACAAATCTGTTCAAAGAAATGCAAAGAAAAAACACGATTTCATACTGCTTTGCTTTTTTTTTATCAAAAAGAAACCTGATGTTACCTTGAATATTATGACTAACAGTATAATATTAATTTACTTTTTCTGGAATACCACAGAAATTTCTAATATATTTACATGAAATAAAAGATGTGTAGGGGCGCCTGGGTGGCTCAGTCAGTTAAGCGTCCGACTTTGGCTTAACAGTTTATGGGTTTGAGCCCCGTGTTGGGCTCTGTGCTGACAGCCAGCTCAGAGCCTGGAGCCTGCTTCTGATTCTGTATCTCCCTTTCTCTCTGACCCTCCCCTGCTCACGCTCGCTCTCTCTCCCTCTCTCTCTCTCTCTCTCTCTCTCTCAGAAATAAATAAAACATTAAAAAAATTTTTTTAAAAGATGTGTGTTTTGACACCAATTTTTATTTTTATTTCTGAATGGCACAGAGCATGCATCATTTGGTGGTAGTTATTTTGTAGGACCTGAGCTGTTAGCTAGTGTTACAGAACTGTGAGATTGTGTAACCAACTTCCTTCGACCAGCGCTTCAATCTCCCACCATTATTTTAAGTTTGTAAGAGTTCATGTAGATTAAACTAAAGCAGCTTAACATAGATTCTTTTCCATGGACAATCAAAATCCAAAATTCAAATTGTCCTCTTTTTCCTAGCTCTTCACCTGAGAGACTATGAAGACATCATCCCTGCCGTCGAGATCTACTCTCTGTTAGCGCTCTGCGCGTGTGCCAGTAGAGCGTTTGGCACTTGTTCAAAAGCTTTTATTAAACTTGAATCTTTGGAGACCCTCAGTTCGGAGCAGAAACAACAGTATGAAGATCTTGCTTTGGAAATCTTTACCAAACACACTCCGAAAGATAACAGAAAATCTGAATTGGACAGCCTTCTTGAAGGGTAAGCTAATTGTAATTATTAATTATATATTATACACTCTATTAGAAGCTGAAATTTCTATAAGTATAGTAGTGTGATCTAATAATAATTTACACACTAAATTTTGAAGTAATTTACCTTACAATGAAAACCTATTTTATTTAGTCTTATAAGTATATTCTTTATTTCTTATTGTAAGAAGTTTTTAGTTAAAAGTTGCCTTGAGATGTTTTTCATTCCTCAATTTTACAACTGTAACAAGTAGTTTAAGTAATTAGAAGTTTTAAAGTATAATTAATTGTTTTTCCTCTTGTTCTTACAGAGGGGAAGGGAAATTGCCAACATGTGTTGCCACGGGAAGCCCAATCACAGAATATCAGTTCTGGGTGTGCAGTGTGTGCAAGCACTGTGTTCTGGCTCAGGAAATAAGTAACTACAGCTTCTGTCCTTTATGCCATAGCTCAGTGGGATAAAGAACGACAGAGTGTATCTAACTGTAAAATACATGTAGCATATATACATGGCTATAACTGTATATACAATAAGGTTGACTTTCATTTTATATGAAAATCAGCATCATTATTTCCATATAAAATGTATAGAAATCAATCTTATTTCTTTCCTATCTGTCTCTATCAATTACAGTTACATAATACTGTGAAAAAATTCCAAATAAGAAATTTTTCTCACAGTTGGCAAGGTTTCTAATTCATTAAGAAACCTTGGTGGGGGGCAGGTTGAGGAAGCATGGGAGTGGGCAAAGTTGAATTTAGGGAATTGACATAACCTGTATTAGAAGAATGTTAAACAATTGTACTATTAAAATTAGCTTTATTGCTAGCTGTCTTTAATTAAATAAATATTGAATGTCTTCTGTATTTTATTTTCAGAAATGAGAAGGCACTTTAAGATATTTTTTATAATTTGAATTGTTTCTAACAACCTTATTTTTATATAGCTTTTCCTTTTTTATCTACTCTTTTAGCCTCATCTGAAAGGTGGCATTTGGCATTACTCTATATTGTGCAAAAAACTTGGCTGTATTTATAATGATATAAATTTATACAAAAACATCCATTTTGTAGTGATAGTTTTATTTGAAACATTGTCTCTAAGCAGGGCAGTATGAACTGACTTAATTTGGTTTATTCAGCATGAAGGAAATTTCAGAATAATAACACCAACAAACTCTCCCCTGATGAAAGGAGCAAAGAGAAGCAAAATTGTCCCTATGTAACAAGTACGTGGAGAGACATGGACAGAATGAAGATGTAATGAAAACAGTATAATGAAGTAGTTTATGTTGTTTCTCTTTCTGTAATAAGCAGGTACTGACTCCGTTTAAGTAATGCTGAGTTGTTCTGTATCATAAAACTTGGCCTGACTTATGTGATGTTTCAAAGGAGAATTATATTACATTTCAAAGTTTCATAATACTTTGGTAGCCAAAAGTACTGAGATGATGGACCAACTGATAAAATTTATAGTGATAAGCAATGTGCTTAACAAGCAACAAAGATTGTTGACCTGCTATCGTGCCACAAATGCTGATTTTATTGCTTTTTTTTCTGCCACATACACTTTGAAATGATCTTTTTGTATTCCAAGAGCTAAGATTTTAGGTTTTACATGGCATTCAGTAAAAAAAAAAAAGAAAAGACATATTGACTTGTGTTTATCCCCAGTTTCCTTTATGTATAACTTAAGGATAATATGGTATTTGTTTTGTTTTGATTTAAATATTTCAGTGGGGGTTGTTTAGGAAGGTGTTGGACTTCAGACTGAATATGGGGAGAAAGGGACAGGAGGTACAATAGATGTATAATATTATTTTTAATACCAAACAGAAAAAAACAACTTAGGTACTAGGCAAATGTCAGATGATTTGAGGTTGTAGTGAATTACTCTAGAGGTCATACATAGTTCTCATTTAGAAATGGGGGGAAATTTGTACCAGATTTTTAAGAGAAAATCAGAAGTACTTACTCGATGATTTTATAGTTCTAAGATATTGCTACTGAGTTTCTAAAATGTAAATGGCAATATTACATTGCCCCCTACTGTCTATTCTTATGATTATTCTCAATTCATTTTTTAAATAAATTAATGTGCTTTTCTTGAAATAAACATTATTTTTAGAAAAGTAACATATATCCATGGTAGAGAACTATAAAAATACACCAAGAGTATTTATGAGCGATGGGAAGTAAAAATGGTCTTAATAACCTCTTTAAAATTAAAGGCATTAATTTATATTTTAGTTGAATTTAGGAGAAGAAAAAATGGGTGAAACTGAAGAAATCACTGGATTGTAAATTTTCTTCATAAGAAGAACTACTTTTTCTTAAGAAATTTCCCTAAAAGGAAAAGTAGACATTAAGAGGATTGGAGTTAATATTTAACGACTCATTTTTTGTCATAGCTTAGATTTCTAGTAAGTAAAATTTAAAGAAAAATGAGCTACCTCTCACATACGCCATAATAGCTGAAATTAAAACTGCCAGGTATTGGTAAGGATATGGAGCAACTGAAACCCTTATACATCACTGGTTCAAATGCAAAATAGTACACTCCGGAGTTGAGTTTCCGAAGTTCTGTATATATATTTTTTGGGGGAAATATGGGTGTGTGTGTGCGTATGCATGTATACATATATGTGTGTGTGTGTATGTGCATATTTTTGTAAACTGCTCCAGTCAATGAAAGTGAAGCTTTACTGAGGCCCCAGAGCCATAGGGTTCAGGCAAGAGACTGCCCTGTAGGGGAAGGAGGAGCCCATGGAGGGACCTTATGTGACTTTCTTTTCAGGGCCTGGGTTGTTGGTGGGGCCACACCGTTTGCAGCGGTTGATGGTATGAGGTTGCAGGGGAACATAACACATCCAGGAGATTATCCTGTTGCAGTATTTCTGGGTGAGCTGGCAGAGGGGAGGCTTGTTGGCGCCACACTCCACAGGCAAAACACCACATGCAGGTGGACTCTGTGGAAGAGGGACTTGAGAGTCAGAGAGGGACAGCAACTGAACCTAACGCCGGCACTGAAGTCAGAGGGCAGGCCCTCCAGTGTCACGTAGACCAGAGCTTCTCAAGCGTGACAGAGGCGCCAAGTCCGAATCTTGTGTGTGCTACCAGTAGATGGACACATCAGCCCAGCATCTCCCGCAGAACATGATTTGCAGGTATTTCCTCCCATCCTATGGGCTGTCTTTTTACTCTGTATAGTCTTTTAATACACAAAAGTTTTAAATTTTCATGAAGTCCAGTTTATGTTTTCTCTGTCTTTGGGGTCACATCCAAGAAGCTGCCAAATCCAATGTCATGAAGCTTTTGCTTTATGTTTTCTTCTAAGAATTAGGTTTAGGTTTTTAATCCATTTGTAGTTAATTTTTTTATATGGTGTTTCAGTCCAACTTCATTCTTTCGCATGTGGATATCCAGTTTTTCCACAAGTATTTTTTATGGAAAGGCTGTCTTTATGCTAATCTCACAGTGTTTTGATTACTGTAACTTTGTAGTTGAGTTTTGAAAACAGGAAGTGAATATTCCAACTTTGTTATTTTCAAGATTGTTTTGGCTATTTGGGATCTCTTGAAATTCCATATTAGTTTTAGGATGGATTTTTTTATTTCTTCAAAAAACATCCTCGGTAATTTGAAATGGATTCCATTGTATCCCTAAGTCCCTTTAACTTGAACATGAGATGTCTTTCCATTTATTTATGTGTAATTTCTTTCATCAGTGTTTTCTAGATTCCATTTGACAAATCTTTCACTTCTTAATTTCTAAATATTTTATCTTTTTAATGCTATTATAAATGGAATTGTTAATCTCTCTGGGGTGTTCATTTTACATAATTCTTACTTGAATTAAACATATACTGTACTTAATAGATTACTATCTGGGTTTCTCTTTGGCATTAACAGCAAGAAAATGTAAACTCACGTAACAGACCAGACTGTCAGCACAAAATATTACGTAATGAATCCTTACACTATTCCAGAGGTTTGAGAAATCTGCAATGTAGGATCTTGGGAGCTAATAAATGGCAGTTTGAATTCGGACAACTTTCCGACAGTGTCTCAGAATAGCCGCAGCCTACTCAGATCACCCTCTACCGCGTGTTTTGCTAAGAGTGGACGCTGGAACCCTAAGGGTGCTACTGCGAGTCCGCTGGCCAATCAGCCGTTCATAAAACAAACCAAGGTTTCTTCTGCTTCCGGCACAGGGAGGCTTTCTCCCCCCATAACGTGCTGTAACAAAGGACAAACTCCTCGCAACATCAGTCCACGGAGTTGGAAACCAGTTTGGAACCATCTATCTACTGCCTTCTAGAAAAAGAGGCAGGCGGGACCAGCAGTTAAGAGCAGAACAGCAATTCAGGGCAGTCGATTCAAACCACCCGGGCGCCTGAGCCGCCCGCCGGCACGGGGTCATTGATCTCGCGAGACGATGGGTCCTCGAAAAGCACAAACTTCCCCCTTTGCGAGCGCCGAGGTTTTGTTGGCAAATTCCGCGAGTACGGAAGTGGCTCCGTGGTGCCGCCTCTACCCCTCTACCCGCTCAGAAGTCAACTCCTTTTCTACACGAAAAGCTTAGGCCTCCGACCGCTATGGATGGGAAGCGAGGGCGACCAAGCCACGCATCGCTGGCACTCGCCCAAGCTCACTTCAACAAGGGCGAGTACGCGGAAGCGGAGACGCTCTACTCCGCTTACATTAGCCAGTGCGCCTGTGCAGCCTCCGTGGGAGCTGCGCCCGGGAGGTAACTATCGCGAGAAGTGGGGCGGATGCGCCTCCAGCCGGTCCGAGGCCGGGGTCGTCAAGCCCGGCGGCCAGCCACCTGAGCTCGGGGGCTCCAAGGAAGCTGGGAGCGGTCGTTCGCCTTTCCAGGAGGGCAGCAAGGGGCGCGTTCCTCCGGAACATCCGGGGCGTCCGCTGCCTTCTCCTCCCGACCGTGGGAGGAGTTCCGTGTTACTCTGACCCAGAGACTTAGAGCGGATCGCGCTTTTCTACCTGTCATTTTAGCAGGCGGATATCGGAGACGTTGTGATGGCGATTGGACCCGCCACTCCAACCTCCCCATCACCGCATGGGGGGTGTTTCCTTTTCGCCTGTGTGGGGGCGGGGGGGTTGGAGATCACTTGGCCTGAATATTATCATTTCACCCACACATCATTCGTCCATCGACATTTCAAGTTGCATTTCTTAAATATTAAGGATTCTTAAACAACTACAGTATCATTATTGTCACAGAATTCCTTAATGTGAAATGCGCAATTAATGCCGTGTCCTGATTGGTTAATAACGTTTGTGGTGGTTTGTTTTGCTTTTCTTGGTTGGTTTGCTTTTTAGCATTTGGTTCAAGTCAGAATGCACACCAGGTCTCTTAATCTATAAGGCTCCCCTTCTTTTTTCTTTTTCCCCTCAAAGTTTATCGAGGAAGCCATCGTGGGTTTTGAGTGTTTGCTGAATTCATTCCCCGATGTGTCCTATGCTACTTGTGTGAGGCTTGATCCAATTCAGAGCCTGCATTATGGCAAGAATGTGTCATAGGTGGTGGTGTGTACTTCTGTCGCATATAATGTTTTTCTTTTTGTGATACTAGGGTCCTCACCTGCTAATAATACCTGCTTGCCCAGAGTGCCTGCATGTGTAGCATTTGTTGTTACTCCCGTTTTATCCGTGTTCTTGTTGACGGAGTGGTGTGGACTAGGACGAGAAAAGAAAGAACTGAGAGGAGTGGAATGAACAGCTTTTTGACAGTTTTGAGTCTTCTGCACCATCACTCTTCTCTCCCTTCAAGGATTTGGTTTTTCTTTATAGGATTCCAGTTTGTCTTTTGTATGAGCCTTATGATTCTTCTCCGGTTTGTTAACCTCATATGGAATTAAACCAGAAAAAAAAATTGCTTTCTTGTTTCAATAACACACCAAAGTAATAGTTAATAGAAATTTCTGAACAGGAAATAAGACACTAGAACCATGCCCTGAGCTCCCCCAACCCCACCCACCAAGAAAAAAAAAAAGATTAGTAACCATAGAAAATGTAGTTTTCTATCATTGTTTCAAGCTCAAAGAATAGACTAACCCAGTAGGTTTCAAAAAGTATTTGTCCCCAGCAGATATATTGTTGCCATCTAGTCTTCTTTGCACATCCAGCCTGAAAGCACTGATGTGTGTTTGTAGCATATGTAGTATCTGGGAAGGCAGAATAGAATGTCTGCCATGGTTTGGTAGAAGGTAGGTGGTCGACGCGCCTGAGTGAGCCTTCTTTCCTTACAGTTCTGAAAATCTTCTAGGAACACATGAATTTACAATGGATTCTGTCATTTCAGATTTTTTCCATTAAATGTATCTTTTAGCTTAAATTTATTTTTTAAAATAATGGGTCACTGAGCCATTTGGAAAAAGTATTTGCAATTTTTGCATGCCTGTCACTCTGAATGGTTTCTAACATTTTCTTTTCATATCCCAGAGTGCAGTGTTAGTCATAAACCTAACTTCCATGCTGTGACTGTCATCCAGCGAGGCCAGTGAGGCTCCCAGCACTTCCAGATTTATTTCTTTTTGCTAAAGTGTGCAAATGCAAAAGAATCCATATTGGTATTTGGTAATTGAATTCTAGTATGATAAATACTATCATTACTAAAATCTCAATATCAAGAAAACAAATTTCAGCTTCAACTATTAGCCCATGTGTTTAAAATATGAAGCAATTTCTTGGGGCGCCTGGGTGGCTTAGTCGGTTAAGCGTCCGACTTTCGCTTACGTCATGATCTCGCGGTTCGTGGGTTCGGGCCCCGCGTCGGGCTCTGTGCTGACTGCCAGCTCAGAGCCTGGAGCCTGTTTCAGTCTGTGACTCCCTCTCTGTCTGACCCTCCCCTGCTCACGCTGTCTCTCTCTCTCTCTCTCCTAGAAATAAATAAAAAAACATTTAAAAAAAAAATATGAAGCAATTTCCACGTGAAAAGTACGTTTTTAGAATTTGTTGTAAAAATGAGATCTAATTCTGAACCAAACATTCTATGGGCCTCTGGATATAAGAAATTTGTAACAAAGTTGTAAAGCTTAAAAATAGAATGACTATAACCTTCCTGGAGTCCTGAGGCTGCATTAAAAAAAACCAAACAAACCAAAAACCAAAAAACCCTTTACTGGGTAGCAGTTCACCAAGTATGGGAACAGGGATAGGTGTAGGGAGTGTGCCCTCCTGTTCCCCGGGTTTCAACGATGATGTTAGTGGCATCCAGAAGTATCCTCGCACCCTATCTCTGTCGTAGCTCACACAACTAGTTTCTCGTGTTGCAGTGTTTTCTGTCCATCGTTAGTGAACTTAGACTTGAAGGGACCCCCCCCCCCAGGCCCTCTCGTGGTAGCAGCGGTTGCAGTGCCTGTCGGATCTCAAGGATCTAGATACTAAGAGAAAGTCACTTTTAATATCACTGACTGTGGCCACAGTGTTTTCTGAGGACTGTACTTTGCAGGGTGCGGCATAACAAAGAAATGAGAGCTGAGTGTCGCTTGTGCCTTTTCTGTTTGGCCCGAATTTGAGATTCCCTTTGGAAAAAAGAAGGGAAAACCATTGTCTCGGAGCAGCGGAGTTAATGTTCTCTGGGCAAATGATTCCTCCTCCAGGGGAGGGTGACCTGCTGAGCTGGTGGCTGATCAGGCTGCCTCCGCTAAGCCCTTAAAGAAAGTCTGCTCACTCAAAGCGCCTTGGGCAGCCTCTGGAGCCTTCGGAAGCAGAGCCAATTCTGCACACAGGACCCCCAGGGTGGACCTGAGCCCTGAGGCCCTCCTAGTAGAAGGCCAGTGTGGTCTTGGGGGGGGGGGGGCGAGCCCACCTAAGACGGGAGGGAAGGCAGCTTTGTCCCCCAGAAGGCCTCCCTGGGGGACAGTATGCCCAATTTTCACACTAGGGTTAACTTGTATTTCTTTATTGGTGAAAAATGATTTCATATTTTCATTTTGGGGGGATCACTTAAAACTTTGAGAATGACATTGATGATTCACTCTGTGATCTGTCTTTTGCGAACTGGAACTTTGGGCCGGCTTTCCCTCCTCGCTCAGCATGACCTGTCTTTGCCCTGCTGGGGTGTGCTGAGAAAATGAACAGTGATTTTAATTCTACGTTCTGCAAAACAAGTTGTCAGTGAACAGGGTCCCTGAACGCACTATAAAATTAATTTGTTTTTCAGACTGACATTGTAACGCTACCTCCCTACAGAGTAGATACAGGATTAAGCAGACACTGATTCCACAGCTTTATTTCTTCACATTTCGTTTTCTTCAGCTTGGTATTCCAGGGTAGATACTGCATGTTACAGGCGGCGAAGTTTGACAGTACCCAAAAGGGAATGAAAGTGGAAACGACAGGAATTTGGTAACACACGTTTTTATTGTGAATTTTTTGTTCAAAGCAAATGCAGCCCCGAGGACCTGGCTACTGCATATAATAACAGGGGGCAAATCAAGTACTTCAGGGTTGATTTTTCCGAAGCCATGGATGACTACACATCTGCCATCCAAGTCCAGCCCACTTTCGAAGTTCCATATTACAACAGAGGGTTGATATTGTATAGGCTGGGTAAGAATCTTTTTTTCCCCTTTTGTCCTTGACTATATCCTATGCATTCAGAGCTCTCAGGTGCTGTGAAACTAATGTAGTAATCACCGAGTCTCAGAGTTATGTAAAATGTAGATTGAGAGCCTGGAACAAAGGAAGCATTTATTTTGGGCTTTCGGTGGGTTTTACAGACCACAGCAGAGCCCTGGGTGGGGACTGGACCTCGGGCCAGGTGAGGGTGAGCCCGTCACTGGGTGCCCGTGTCTTCCCAGCTGCGAAGTGAGGGCAGTGCCGATGACCACCTGGGAAACTTGTCTGAGTTAAAGTCTTTTTTTTTTTTTAATGTTTATTTATTTTTGAGAGAGAGAGAGCAAGTGAGGCAGGGGCAGAGAGAAGGGCCAGAGGATCCAAAGCAGGCTGTGTGCCAACAGCAGAGCCTGATGTGAGGCTCGAACTCTCGAACTGCAAGATCATGATGTAAGATGACACTCAGTCGACTGAGCCTCTGAGTTAAAATCTTTAAGGGCACCTGAGACTATATAAAGTGAAAGAGTTTTAGATCCTTGCATTAATGGGACTGTAAGTACTGTTTCTCTTTTAAAGTGTTAAAAAGAATGTGAATTTCCTGTTTCTTAATTTTACTGTCATGGTGTAAATTTGGTATTAGGATTTTGTTGAGATTTCATGATGATTTATGATATAAATAAATAAACCCAGAGCTAATTTTAAGTGTCAATTTAAAGTGAATATAAAATTTTAATTTTAATTATGGTGTAAGGGCATGCAAAATTACTCTGATATACACATGCGTATGTCATTACTAACAGCAAAGCAGTCCTTTAGTAGGAGTGTTTGAAAGCTCATAAATATAAAAGCAAAAGTATGTGTATCTGAACTTTGCTATGAATAATGTATAGAAATACTCAGTTTTATTACTCTTTTCCATTTTTTGGGTTCTGGTACAGGATACTTTGATGATGCTTTGGAAGATTTCAAGAAGGTATTAGACTTAAATCCTGGATTTCAAGATGCTACTTTGAGCTTAAAACAGACTATTCTAGACAAAGAAGAAAAACAAAGAAGAATTAATGAAAAAAATTATTGAAAGGCTTAGCATAATTGAAATATTAACCCATGATCCTTATATCTGGTATCTCATTGCTTATAATGTCAAGTTAGGTGTTGAGCTATTTTGATTTGTATTTAAGATAGAGATTCATGTATTAACAAACTGGAAGTTAAATAATATATTTAAAGTAATTAATTTCAGATTGAGTAACTATGTTGAATAAGTATGCTTTTTATAAAGTGCAAATAAATAAGATCAATGTATAGTGTGTTATTACAGTAAAATATTTAAAGAAGTGTGTGGCATTTTCTTCAGTAAAACTATATTTTTTGTTATTTTTTATTCCCAACGTCTTATTTAAAAAATTTGGCATCTATAGAAAAGTTGAGGTACAATACAATGAACATCTATAAACTCTTCACTTAGATTCACTAGTTGTTAACATTGGACCACATTTGCTTTTTCTCTGTGGTTTAAATATATAACTTTTTGCTGAACCATTTGAAAATAAGTTGCAGATATTCCAATACTTTACCCCTAAATGTTTCAGTCTGCATCTTTTAAGAATAGAGAGACATTCTCCACTGCAGCCACGATACCATTATAGTAGCTCATAAAATTAATAATTCTATAATATCATCCATATCCAGCCCATGTTCGAATTTCCCTAATTGTTTCCACAATGTCTCGTGTAGATTTTTATTTCTGGACCTGCAGTAAATCAAGCTACATTGCCTTTTCTTGCTGTATCTGAGTTCTTTTCATCTAGAATAGTTCCTGCTATTTTCTCCCTGTGGCGTTCACCTGGAGAAGAAAGCTTTTTTATACAGCCAGGCTAGAGAGATGCTACCTTTGGGCTTAAAAATAAACACGTGTTCTACAAGAGAACAATTTGAAACCAGTCAACCTATACTTGATTTTCTCTGGAAATCATTGATAAGATTCGTTGAGATTTAAATACTTAAATTGTCTTCTCTGGATAATGACAATAATTATCGTCATCAACATTTATTGAACACTTACTATAAGCCAAGCACTATTCAGAGTATGTGTAATGAATTAGGTATCGGATGGGGGTGGATAGAGAGGTGAGGAGCTGAGAAAAGCACTTTGTAAACAAAAGGCTTTTAAAAAATCTGTTTTTATTTGGGTGCTGTCAATAAACCGGCTGATAAAGCTGTCTAGAACGGGGAAGAATTTGAAGGCAGAGACAAGGCAATGCTGTTTCTCCTCTACATTTTGTGTCTGTGTATGTTTATTGTTGAGGTTTGACTTTCAAAGATACCGATCCTGCATCTGGGATCTCCCAAACTGATTCACTGTTGCCGTGGGAAAAAACGTTTTGGGGTAGCAACGACTCAGCGGGAGAAAGGCAAGGGCATTTGCCCTGTGCCTCTGGAGGAAGATCCTTAGTCACTGCTGTGACCGGCCCAGATGCAAATACCGTCATCAGCCTTAACGGGTTGTTTCGAGTTCAGGAGGTCTCATGAAGCAGAAGTACTTAGCCTGTAGCTCATAAATAATATCTGGCAAAATACATGGGGAATTTGGGCTGCAGGTGAATGAATATTTTTGAAAAGAAGCTTGAAAAGAAGCTGAAAGTATCCATATTTCTGGAATTCTTCACATTTTCCAATGTGACTTCTCTTTCCATTTGTTGGAAATGTCTTTAAAAGAATTTGTAAAGTTGCGTTAAATTTGTTTAAAAAAAAAAATCTCTCTTAAAACTTTTATTTAAAAAGCAAGGTCCGTAGGCCTTGGGAGAGCTTCAAGCCCTTCTACCCAAAATATCAAATATTTAAATAAGGCTCCAGTGACTTTGTTTTCTCTTGGCTTCTGTTCTCTCTTCCTTACTGTTGACTGGGGTCAGATCTAATATGAAAAACAAAAACCAACTCCGTCCCCCTCCCCTCCCCCCCCCCCCGCAACTCTGTGAAAGAATTTGTTTTTTTAAGATTCAACGTTTCTTCATCCTTTAACAGAAGAAAAGAAAATCACTGAAGGTCTGAATCAGCACTTGCTGATTAGAACCCAGGCACTGCTTTTCCTCTTATTACTGGAAATAACTGAAGAAGACTGTATTTTTATCACTTCAAAACTTTAGGCAATATGCATTCAGATTCTAAATTTCTGATTGACTAAATTACCATTGCTATGTGCCTTAAAGATATTCTTTTTGTGTGTGGGCTATTGCTCACAGTTCTTAGTATTTCTACTAGAAAAGTACCCAAACTATGTCATTTTCCAGTTTGTCCCTCTGCAAAAACAAGGCAGAAAATTGTGATTTGTTACAAAGTACGGTAAGATAGAATAAATGGATGTAAGTCGCTTTTGAGCTTAGAAAATAACTCTTACACTAGTTGAAAGCCTGGAGCTATTTATTTTTTCTGAAATCTAGAACTGAATGAAGACTGAGGACTTACTTTCTGGTAACAAACTACAGTCTGCTAGTGGAACAGCAAACTAAATTTCCAAGTCAGCTTTTAGTCATTATCTGTTTGCCCTCTCATGGCTCTTCTCTGTGTTTTCCTTCTTTCACTGGCCTCTCGACCCTCCCCACACTCTCTACATATCTGCTTCCCCCCCCCCCCCCAATCTTGCAGGCCTTAGGTCTTTTCTCAGTGGGTGTGATAGAGGTCAACCTGCCTTCAGGGCAAATCAATTTGGCATTTACACTGATCTTTATCTCAGTACCAAGTCTAATCCCCTTAACATTTTAACTCAGTTTCAAGTAATTAATTAAGCCTCTTTCTTGCTTAACAACATTTATTTGTCCCTGAGAGTGTTTCTGCTAAGTGAAAAGCTAGTATACGGAAAAGAAAGAAATCCATTCCATTAAGTTTAAATGGAAAAATTATGAATTCCATTTTAGCCCAAGATACCCAAATACTTTTCACAGATAGAAAAATAAGTAAATTGAGCAATGAAGACAAGTTTATATAAGTAATAGCAATCGGAAGTCACATAATTACATTTATAATGATTACGTCAGGTGTTAACAGCATGAATGCTTACTATACTCATTTTCTTCCTGTACTGTTTTTAATTTTTTTTTTTTTTTTTATTTCTAGGAGAGAGAGAGAGAGACAGCGTGAGCAGGGGAGGGTCAGAGAGAGAGGGATTCACAGACTGAAACAGGCTCCAGGCTCTGAGCTGACAGTCAGCAGAGAGCCCGACGCGGGGCCCGAACCCACGAACCGCGAGATCATGACCCAAGCGAAAGTCGGACACTTAACCGACTAAGCCACCCAGGCGCCCCCTTCCTGTACTGTTTTTAAAAAGCTTTATTGAGAGATAATTCACATAGCATACAATTCACCCCCTTAGAGTGTATAATTCAGTAGTTTTTTTAAGGATATTCAGTTTCCGTCCCACCTTTAAAAACAAGTTTTCAACGTTTTTGGGTCTCATAGTCCTCTTTAAACTGCACTTACTGAAGTCATAAGAGAAAAGCACTTCTGGGCGAATTAAGAACTAAACAATATCTCAGAGCTTACACACGAAACAGATGGAGAGTGCCGAAGGACCGTCTCACCCAGCTAAGTAGCTCAATGCCAACCCGGGCTGAGTACGTGGGAGGCTGTCCCTCTGCCTGAAGCTGGCATCGAAATTTCACTTCTGCAGCACATTTACTGTGTTTGCGTGAACAGGTTGTTGTTTTCAAAAATTGCTGACAAACACATGGTATAACTTTTCAAGATCCCAGTGAAAAGTGAAAAAGTCGCTACAGGAGCTAAGTGTGTTGTTATCACAGCTTCTAGATGAATTCATGTTTTCATCTAGAAAACATGTTTCATCATGTTTTCTAGATTTCTCAAAAATGTGACAATATGGGAAAGGTATTCCAGTTAAAATGGCATTTGGTCAGAGATTTGTTGAATTTCACATCTAGTGTCAGAGGACTTCAAAAGAAACACCATTACATTCTTTACAGGAAGGAAAGAAGATGAGAAATTCAATTTTTTTTAGAAGCAAAGCAATTGGTAAGATTTAAAAACACAGTTTCTATCTTTTAAAATCACAAGCAGATAAAAGGACACATCCATGTAGCAAAAGACAAATGATGAAGGAAACCCAAAAGGGAAGCCCCAAAAGCAGAAATTATGACCCAAGAATATGTATAAACAGAGTGAAATAAGTGCCCTCCCAGGTTTGTGTCCATCAGCACATCATCTCACGTGCAACAACGCAGTGAAGAAGGGCTTGTTCTTCACAGAGGATGAAGCTGAGGCTGAGAAATTCAGTATGCCCACAGCTATGTTCCAAAATCCATGTAAGCATTCAGAACTGCAGTTAGTATCAGTTGATTTTTGTTGCTGGCATCAACTCGAAGCAGACAGGAGAATTCTTTTTCTTTTCTTTTCTTTTTTGTTTTTGCCTGATACAAAATTTTTATCGCTCGTAAATTGTTTCAATATCCATCAAGGTGAGTACCAAACCAATATTAAAATTAGTTTTTACAATGGAACATTACTGCAATTCTAGAGTTCCTTGTTGGTAATTTTCCTTCCTGATTGAAAACAGACACAAAAGATGGTGAAAAGCAGATTAATATTAAGAGCAAACTCCATTTGGAAAATAGAAAGCCACAGCTGCCAATATGTAAATTTGTATCTTATGTTAAGAAAAAGTATCCAACATCTATAAATAAGGCAAAAGGAAGATTGCACATCCTTTCAAAATTACACTGAGCACAGCCTAACAGACCCACCCAGGGACCACTTAATTCTCTGGGACTACATGTAATTTACAGATCTACGTCCAGAGTTATGATTTCTGTCTGGTAGAAATGATAACCCTAAAGATCATGGTTTTATCGCCCTGGCGGACATTAACCAGTTTTGATTCCAACCGAGTAACTTTATTCCCCAATTCTTTCTTCATTGACTGTAAATACTCAGTTCCTCAAATGCTCTTTTACTATCTTGGTGTTTCTCTCATTCATGAGTTAAAAAGACATTTGTCATGTGTTCATTCTGTTTTCTTAGAAGAGTTATGCATAGTTTTAAGCAATTTATGTTTTGACACTTCTGTTGAAAACACAAAACCACCTTTAATAGAGTTTGCCATTAGATAGTCTCTTAGGTTATTTCTCGCAGGACTAAGAGAAAAGAGGGACTGGAAATTTCTATTGCCTGTTTGTTTGAAATTTTAATAATTCTTGTTTGGATTATGTTGAGGTTTAATTGAGCTCGGACTGAAGTAAAATATAGGGAAGGCCCTAACCTTAAATCACATACATGTAAGTACTCCCTTTAAAAGTAGACAAAAGCTGCAGAAATGTGTTGTAAAAGATTATAAATTCCCCCGCTCCCCATTCCCAACCGCCAGGCCCTTCCCCCCACCCACCCTGCAGAAGGAATCACTGTTACATTGTATCTATCGTTCCAGACCTTACTGGTTGTAGTAATACACAGACACATGTCTGCATATGCATGTGCAGAATTATGGCATTTGTATCATTATGAGGTAATTTACATTATTGATTATCTTGGACATTCTTCTGTGTAAGAAAAGAAATCTCCCTCATTCTGCTTGGACCCACGATTTAAAAAAAAGACACATGAAGAATGCTTGCCAATTTTTTTGTTATAAAACTAATCATGCATATGGTAATACAGTTAAAGCCGCACAGGAGGGATAAGGGGAGAGTAAGCCCCTCTCCTCCTCCACATTCCCCTCCGAGGCGAGCGCCTTCACCAGAACAACTGGAACCACAGCG